GGTGCCCGGGAGGTGCCCGGGCCCTGCCAGGCCTGGGCTTCCCGCGCTGGGCCGTGGCTGCCCCTGCTCGCCGGGAGGGACCGGCCCTGCTGATCTCCGCGCTCTGCTCGGGCTGTGCAGCGCCCCGGCTGCAGCCCAACGGAAGTTAAGGTTCAGAGGAACCTTTTTGCTGCTCTGTCCGGCGTTTATCCGAGGAGATGAAGCGGATGCGCGGAGCCAACATCCGGAGGGGCCTGCGGGAAGGTGTGAGGGGGGGGTGTCCTCACAGGTGCTGTTGGTCTCTCCCCTCCCAGATGCCAGTGCCCTGAACTAACTAGCTCAGAGGAAATGGATAAAACGTCAGCAGAAATATACAGGAAGGCAGCCTCCTACTGACATCCAGAAGTCACTCCTGTTTCTAACACTGAAGCCTTAACTCGGGGGATAACTGCAAATTGCATGGATGGAAAGCTGAGGTGAAGGGAAGAAGCATTTCTCACGGTAGAGCTTAAGGAGTTGGCAGCTGAACTTCAGCTTGGCAGATAGGATGGCTACATCTGTTTGATCCACGTGTCACTAGACAGCACCACTGTAGCATTTTTGTTATTTTATCCTGTAGTTCTGGCATGAGGGAGAAATAATTCTCAAAATATTACTACTCTGTTAATTTCACCCAGTTGCTGCCTTTTGTCTTCATGCAGATACAAACATACCAAGGCAAAAGCTGTATCTTTACATCTGTTCCTTGTATTGCACTGTAGCATGGGTATCCTAGTTCCATCTGGGGTCAAATTACCAGTCTTGAATTTGGGTATGCCTGCCTTTTTGCTGGGCTTGCATTATTTACTTTGCCAGTCACCTTCTCTCACAGTGTTCAAGAACTACTTCTTGTCTTCCCACACACCGCTTGCCTACAGTTTGACTGTCAGGCTTCCTTCAGACTCTGAAGCAAGTTTTGTGTAAGCAGATGCTATTCCCAAAGGACAGGCAGAGGGAAGTGTTATGCTGCCAAAAGAAGGAAAACAAGATTACTTTCCAGTGACTGCGGTTCCTATATATGTTTGGGTTTGTGTTGTTATTTTGTTGTTTTGTTGGGTTTTTTTTTCAGAAATATACATTTACAGTGTGGAGTTTTCCACAACAAACACTTGAGCCAGACTTGTTTTTATCAAAGCGTTACCCAGAGGGGGGCACACATGCTCTATCTTCCCTCCCAACACATACACATTCACAAAATAGCAGTGTGCTCTGGTGAGGCTCAACAGCAGAAGTACCAAAAAAAAGAGACTCGGAGAAGAAGGAATGAAGGATAATAGTAGCAACTATGCATTTGGATATTACGGCTTAGAGAACTGCAGTTACTAGTAATAATTTTTCTTATCATTTGAGAGCCTGGCGTTCATAAACGCTGGGTGATTCCAATACTTCATCACATGGTGGCTGGTGATTGGAAACTGGGTCTCAGGGTCTTCTTAAGAGAAGAAAAACTGTTCTATTAAATATGATGTTGTTCCATGGCGCCTTGGCAATCACAGAGATGGGGCTGAAACAGTGGTGCCCCAGGCATGAAGCTCCCTGCAGACACCTCAGACAGAAATTGAACTCCAGTGCAGTACAGCCCACCCACCCCAAGGAACCAGCCAGGATGGTTCCTTCATAACACACCAGTAAAAAACTGGTCTTGGTATTTTGTGTCCAAAGATGACTCAGCCACAGAGGTGTGAGGCTTGGGAAAGAAAGCAGATGTTATTTTTTTTTTATTTGGATGAAATTCTGACACAACCCTTGGAGGAATTTTGGGATGAATCAAAAAAGCTGTCCTAATCAGGAACAAGGCTGTATAGCTGACAGAAGTCTCTCTGGATCTCTGGTAGGTGGAAGAACTGGCCGTGAAGAAGGATATATGCAACAGGTGACAAGGACTCAAAAGCCTGTCTCAGGAAGGGTGTGAGGACCAAGTTCACATCCTGTGGAAATAAAAGGTCTTTGACCAGAGAAGTTGTCATCAAACATTCACATGCCACAGTCTGTTCTGGACTGGCCTTGGGCCTCTTACAAATTTGAAGGCTTAGTTTTATTTTTTCCTCATCAGAGCTCAATCAGACACAGCAGTATTTCTCCTCCAGAGCTGTTTTGGGCCTGGAATCTCTCTCAGATCCATTTCTTATCCTCTGATGAGCAGAGCTGAGTTCTTGTTTTCACCTGAGAGACCTCAGCAAAGTAAGGCAAGACTTGACAGTTGTGATTTTCACTGCTTCAGTTTAGTCACAGAGTCTGGTGTCAGGAACTTCTACTTGTCTGAAGTGAAAAAGCACTCAAACACTGGTCCCATTTCTGGATCCACATTTGACCCAACCTGACCTACTCCTTTTGACCTAAGGATACAAGGGCTGGACAGTTCTCATCAG